TGCTCTGTTTACTTTTTTCTCAAGAAGGCCTTTTTGCACAGGCCTTTTTCCCTGGAGTTGCATTTCTGGATCCGTATGAACTTTGAGTGAACTTTGAGACATTTTAAGGTTCGTCCTCATCCTGTTTCTTTTCCTAAACCTGACCATAGTAACATAAATTGCCTAAACCTAACCACAGTAATTTAATGTTAATTAGAGATGTAATGTCATTCGTGGGGCACAAATTTGTACCATATTTTTGCAGGATATTATATTGTTCTATGAGAATATGTTGAATAAATCCATAGCGATAAAATCTAACACTGAACGTCTTTTGTGAATTTTTATCTGTTTTTCTGATTAAAAATGAGAGTTGGAAATGTTTGACATTGGGTAAAATGCTCCACTCGTCACTGTCACCAGCTGTTCAATCAAAGTGGAGAAGGGGGAGACAAATACCACAATGACCAACCATTGCAGAGGACACAGACAAGTTTCCTCTGGGAAAGAAAGGCTTTGGTGGCCTTATTAAAGTAACACCAGCGACTGTCCAGCCAATGAGAATGTGGTCTGACAACAACATATTGACCAACCAATTGACTAACTGACCAGAAGATTATAGCCCATGTGAATTTTATGAATGTTAATTAAACAAAATTAAGATGATGTAAGTATCAAAGAGCACTGCCTCGCTGTTAAATTTGCATCGCTTTTTGTATGTTGTCAAATGAATAATTGTTTAACTTAGTTCAAATGACAAAGGTTTCAATATTTCAGTTGTAATATTTAAGTGCTGCAGTGTATGGCAATTTCACGATTAAAAAACTGACAGAAAAATTCCATTGTGTTGCAGAAGCTAGTGGAAACAGAGTGAGAACATTATCCAATTGAATTCACATTTATGTTTTATTTTTGTGAATCCAGAGTGGGGAAGGAAGTTTGCAATGTCCCTGAGTTGCGTCATATTTGTTGCTTCCTTCACTTATTCTGTGGTAGCAACAAACATTAATTTAGCAGCAAAAGAGTGACTGTTTGTCATGAATATATTTAGAAATCTTAGCAGGAAAATCTTGCTTTTTTATAAAATGAAATATAAGATTAAGCCCCCCTCTCCACCCCAATAACTTTAATACAGTCCCTAAGTTGTTTGCCAGATACTTTCTGCAGCACTGAATGAGGGTGATGACCTCAGCTGGTTGTACGGCAACAGGCGTGGGTGGCTGATTTAGCTGATAAAACACTGCAAAGACTAATATGCTAACAGACATTGAAGCTAGCATGGCATATGCACACATGGTAGGTGTTATTAAGATTGTATGGCTTTTAAGTTGTATAACTCATTTGCCACTTTAGTGCACACAACACTGCATGTGGAATGAGTCCTTTATCCTGCTCTGGCACCATCTGTTTTTGTGAACTGGGTCAGACAACCTTCAAATTAAACTGCATTAGTTCTGCACAATGCCTATCACCACAGCGACAGTGCTCTCTGTGAAATCACTGTGCTGTCATCAAAAAAATCTGATGTTCCACATTAGGTACACTGTGTTGTTTTTATGTGGTGCATCACACAAGACTCTGATTGAAATCAGGGTAATATATTACACCTTGTTGACAGATGGTGATGGATTCACCAGTGAACAGCTTGTTTCAGCTGTGGTAAGGTGAAGACAACAGAGAAATGAGGAGGAGGTTCAACCTTTGATGAGAGGACTGATCCTATGCTTTGACAGGAAATGCTGAGTCGCTGCTCTGCCAGCCCACACACAGAGACACACTCTGACTTTAGTGTGGTGCAAACATGCAAACATGACCTTTGTGATACAAACCTTTTTCACATTACACATAAGTGTAAAGTGTTATTATGTTATGTAGGCGTGGCCAATATATCAAGCATACACAATGTATCGTGACTTGTTCCACACAGGATGTGTAAAATGACTATATCGCAAACATCAACTATAAATTCACAAAATGTCTGTAGAGGAGCACTTCCAGGAATTGTTTGTTTGAGGTGCTCTTTGGATGGGACAATCATCATCAGCTATAAATTGTCACATCCTTTTTTACACCAGCACAAATATGATACGCCACACACACTTACCCGCGCGTCCAGGCCACTTTCTCCTAGGTGATAGTTTGTGAGGCTTATCTTGTTTTTGTATCTATATGTCTGCCGACTGCAACCAGTTGCTGCAGTTTGCATCCACAGAGCACCAATCCAACTTGCAAATATTATTATTATATGAGCTGGAGAGCTGTTTGCTTCCTGCTCATAGTGAATAAATCCACATGTTTAATGGCCCTGCGGTAACACTTTCACTTTCTGCTAACAGTCAACTGTTGACCTGAAGCTTCAAGTTCACAGCAAAACATCGACACTGTTGGCCAGGATGAGCTGGGTGTTTCAGAATAAAAACATCTGTAGTTCCACATTGATTTATTTCATTGCAACATAACTTTATTTAACCTTATTATAATAATACTTTAACTTTATATTATAAGTTTGTTATTTAACTTTATTATTACAATACCTTATTTAACTTTATATTGTAACTTTACATTATTTAATTTTATAATAATACCTTGTTTAACTTTATATTATAATTGTATGTGATTTAAGTTTATAATAACAGTAATAGGTGTTCCGGACATGTCCCACTTGGGGTCCCCCAGGGAGAGCTGCAAAGCGTTGCCGGGAAGAGGGATGTCTGGGTTGCTTTGCTTGGCCTGCTGCCCCTGCGACCCGACCCCGGATAAGTGGATAAAAATGGATGAATGGATGGAATAACAGTAATATAACATCTTTGTAATAGAACTTTATTGTAACTAGTGATGTCATGAGAACTGATACTCGTGATACCGTTGAAAAAAAAAAACGCAGATACTCATTTTTTTGAAAAAAAAAAAAAACAAATGGAAAAAACGATACCAGCGTAAGAATCGGTGCTATGACTTTTCTGGAACTGATGGGGGCAGTATACGCCATATAGCGTTACAGTCCATGCCTACATTCAGAGTGATACGCTGGTGGCCAAGGCTACCACCTGCTACTCAGTTTTTAACACACTCACACACCGATGTAAGCATCATCGGGAGCAATTTGGGGTTCAATATCTTGCTCAAGGATACTTCGACAGGCAGACTGGAGGAGCCGAGGATCGCGAAGCGCTGATCTTCCGATTAGTGGATGACCCACTCTACCCCTACCTCTACCTACAGCCACCTATCTGTCCAGAGGTAACAAAATAGGTAACACCTATTAGCACCTTGAAAGCTCTCTAATTAACAAGTTATAACTTGTTTGTTGAATCTGTTCTTCTTGTCTTTACATTAACCTAGTCTCCTGGCTGTATAGCTGCTCAACCACCCCCATCCTCCCCCCAGTATTCTATTTGTCCCCTGGCTTTCTACAAGGACACATTGGCCATTTTAATTCCCAGATATTCCATCTGCCAGTCATCTACAATTAATATAACCACAGTTACTCAATTCCAACATCTCACACACTCCCAACTTGTCAAATACTGCTGCTGATTTCGTTGTCAGATACTGACGTACAAAGGCACCTTTCGCATGGTGCGCACATGGGTGCCGGCTATTTCTGACACTGCCAGCCAGTTTGTCAGTGGATGCCTGTGTCAGACATGACGCATCGTGATGCTCTTTGTGGCTCTGTGATAATATGCTTAAATGCTTATTTGAGTTTGTACTAATGCAAAGGCAAACAAACAGAAAAATATCTTACTACTTGTCAAAAAATGGTGTCCACCATAGGGTCACAATTATAGATTTTCTTGGTATGATTATTGTCAGAGAAATAATCACGGTTTTACGATTATCACGATTATTATGCATTAATTAATTACACACTGAAAATGTGTAAAATCACATGAACACTCCTTATAGATGTTTAAGTTTCATTTATTTCCATGCCAACATAACAAAAAACAGCAGGATTTCCTTTTTGGGAAAAAAGGTTTAAACAGGAAAAAAAACATCTAGCTAACATCTAGCTAGCTTTTTATTTATAGCTGCCCTTTGAAACATAAATAATACTGTAACAGTGAAAATAAACAAAACCACATATCTGAAATTAAATACAAGCTAGCTATGTATTTCCTTTTGGAACAAAATAAGGGGTGAAAGGCTGCAGGAGCCACCTGCAGACTTGCTTCAAGTCCTTTCAGTTCAGGTTAAAGTGAAGAAATGTCAGCATGTTCACATGCTCAGAGCTGAATCTTGATCGCTGAGGAGACAGGATATGGCCACTTGTGCTGAACACTCTTTCCGAAGGGACACTTGTGGTAGGGATACAGAGGTACTTTCTGGCCACTTTTGAAAGCATTGGCATTTCTTGCGCATGTGCCTTCCACCAAGCAAGTGGGTCATCATCTGCATTGACAGCAGTGAGGGACAAGTACAGTTTGATCTCAGAATCAACTTTGTCTTGAAATGACAGCATTTCACTTCCTGAAGCAGCTAACCTGTTCTTCTTTGCAGTGGTTATGTGCTGCAATAACCCAGGCAGGCTCTTCTCTTTCCTTTTGGTTGTAGTGGCGGTGGTGGCGGTGGTGGTGGTAGTGGTGGTGGCTATGGCGGCAGAGGAGGTGCTCTGTTCAGTTGCTGCTGGAGGCTCTTCTGTGTGTGGATGTGATGCAAGTGCCAGTGCTTCATCACTGCATGCCTTGACTGTGTCATCCAGATTGTCAACAAAGTTTCCTTTGAACCTGGGGTCCACAAAACTGCATATGTTCAGCACATTCTTCATTTCCTCTGTATATCTGAGGTGCTGTAGCAGGTCTTCTCTAATTACACGTTTATTTGTTTAGTGAGATTGCTGTCTTCCACTTGTTCTTCAAGTGTCTCGTTGTTGATGTGTTCCAAGACTGGCTTCAGGGAGGATAGTGTGACTTGTTTCTCTGAGGCCAGGACGTCAGTGAAGTCATGGAGAGGACAAAGGAGCTGGCTTACTTCCTCCAGGACAGTGATGTCATTGTCTTTAGGCATAAGATGCCAGGTGGATCTGTCTCCTGCTAGCACTCCACAGATGGCCTGCTGTTGCTCCAAGAATCTTGAGATCATTTCAAATGTGGATCCCCACCTGGTGACCACATCGTGTATCAGTGAGTGCTCATGGATGTTCAATTCTGCCTGCTTTTTTTGAAGCTCACGTTTCTGTTTCCAGCTTCGAGAAAACCCTTTCACCAAATGCCTGCATGCTCTGGTAGTAGATTCCACCCTTGGTATCTTGAGGACTTTGGAAATGGCCAAATTCAAATTATGACCAAAACAAGAAAACCAAACACAGGGAAATGTTTCAAAGGCCTTCTTCATGTTACTGGCATTGTCTGTTGTAATTCCAGACAGAATCTCTTTTTTATTTTCCAATCCAAGACCATGTTCTCCATCATTTCTGCTATGTGCTCTGCAGTGTGTTCTTCTGGAAAATAAAGAGTCTCAAGACAGTGAGACGTAAGCTTCCACTCAGCAGAGATGTAGTGGACTGTAAAGTTCATAAAGGGCTCTCCACCACCACCATTGCTGGTCCATAGGTCTGTGGTTGCACCAAACCACTCACCCTCTGCCAGCTTTTCCTCCACACTCCCTCTCACTTTCTTGTACATGGCTGGGATTTTGTTTGAAGAGAAGTAGTTTCTTGTGGGTACTTTGTATTGTGGCATTGCCTTCTTCATGAGATGTAGAAAACCAGGTTTTTCCACAATCTGAAATGGCATCATGTCTTTAGACATGAAATAGGCCACAGCTGTATTTAAATCCTGGGCTTGTTTTGAGGTAGGACCATAGGTGACACACTTTGCGAAGGATTCTGCAACCATTGGTTGTTGAACTGCAGCACCACCAATCTTGGCCTGAAGGTGTCGGTGAATAGAAAGAAGAAAAGTGAAAATAAATTTCCAACACCCAGTTGAGCTTTGTTTGGGCTTACAGTAATGACTTAAGCTGACTGTTAAAATACAATTTTGACACTGACACTGAAACAGTCTGACGACTAAAAAAAGGATTTGAACTTTTAACAGTCGAATTTATGAAATGTGCCTTTAACACGGTGTATACTGTGTCGCCTAGCAGCAACGTCATCAAGCAGCGCCTGTTATGATTTGAGTCTGCTGAGCGCACCCAACGGTGGTCGGACGTATACTTATGAGCTCCTGCTTTTTCTGTTATCTCTCAACACAACAGTGATGGGTATAAGTACATGTGGCGACTATTTTGTTCATGTATGAAAATGTAGTAGCCGTACAACCGGGCTTGGTAAGCTTGGAGTGTTTTTAAGTTGATGTAAAAATAAACTACGAGCATTTGTGAAATCCCGCATTCTTGTGGACGTGAGTTTCTGCCTGTCGTCTCACTCCAAGGAGCTACACGGACCTAAAACCATTACAACCTCACGCTGTGTGCACACAAACTGCAAAAAGTTTTTGAGACGTGCCTTAGCTTGTCACGTTGCACTGTAAGCCCAACTCGTATCATACCACTACGCCATTAATTGCAAATGACACGTTAACATATAATTTTTAATTCAATGTTACATTAGATAAATTGAGATTGACGTGTTTTAACCCAGTTACTGTGCATTTACCTTTACTTGTGCATGTAAAGCCGGGTGGTTGTCCCGCAGGTGTTGAGTCATGTTGCTCGTGTTCGAGCCTTTGGCCGCGACTTTTTTGCGGCATGTTTTGCAAATAGGAAAGCTGTCGTCAACAACGACCCCTTGGTCATTTTTCCGATACCCAAAATCTGCATGCTCTGGTAAATCTTTATGATAATACTTCTCTTGCCACATTACCAGATAGAAGTATGCCAAACAAGGAAATGCTATGATGATACTCCGAAGACTTGCCAAGCAACATGACACCTGACTCACCACTAACTCCCCTCTATGTAGGCTATGTGACAACTCATATTTGTGCACACAAATTGTTATGACTGTCAGTAACTGTCACGGGGTTTTTGTGGTTAATGCTTGGTAATCTGTGTGTGTAAATGCTTGTGCCTACATCATGGCCATTGAGTCAGCTAATGGGCACCTCATAAATGATGTGTAAAGGACAGTGAATGTCTCGAGGTAACACAACAAGCAGGTCCCCCAATGCTTCCATCCTGACCCACATACTGTTATAATAGATAACAACGCTATAGAAATAATGACACCACATGTATAGGATGGTGTCCAGTTAACATTGAGTATGAAAATGAAAGAGGTCAAATAATATTTCTATTGATGATTGATCTTGATGGCCACCCAGTGTTTTGCCAGATTAATGAAATGTGAAGCAAAGCAGTAGATGTTCAGTTTGCATTAGCAGTAACTTAAAACACTGAAACAATGTCAGGAGAGCAAACAGTAAACAATGAGGCTGATAAAAAATCATAGAGAATAAGGCTGGATTCCATGCTGCATTGTCTCCTGTGAATCCTACATGCGTAGGCAGGTAATTTGATTCCAGCACAGGAATAAAGGACTCTGCCACTAACAATGAAAACTAGGTTACTATACAGAGAGGTAGTGTTCCAAACAGGGTTAGATTTCATGAAAATCTTAAAGTCCCCCTCCAGATTCAAAGTCAACTGGATGCTTGAGCTGCACAGTGCAGAATTAAGCATTACACAAACTGTCACTATTGGCATGACAATAATTTGGCCGGTTTGTAAGCATCACTGAAGTGCCAACAGTGACAATAAAGCTCACCCTTGAATATTGCGGTTATACAATGGTTACCAACAAAATAAAAGCTATAATCAAAATCCATTCATATATTCTCAAAATAACAGTTGTCTCAATGGTTCAATGGAAATGGCGTCTCATTAAGAACTGGAAAACACTCAGTCATGTCAGTAGGTAACGATATAATGAAACCTAATTTACTACCCCAGCAAGTAGGCTGACCCTAACAACCTAGTAACAGAAACCATTTCTAGTCCCTCTAGCCAGCAAACATAAGCTCAGTTCAGACCAAAGATTTGTGATGAGACAAAACCATTTTAGAATGTGCAGAGTAAAGTTGCAGCGGTGTCAACTGGCCGGTCTGAGCTCAACTCAAGCTGGCTGGTGTCATCCGCAACTCAGCTGGTCAAATCTCAGGCTCTATGTTTTAGAACATAGAGCATGTCACCTGTGTCAACAGCCAATCGGCTGGTAGTAAAGTCTGCTGGTCAAGTCAAAATGATCACAGACAGTGTGTTCGCTTGAAAAACGTAAAAATTTAATCGGCCGATATATCGGTTATTGGATTTTTTTATTCCATAATATTGGAATCGGCATTGGCCCCAAAAAATCCATATCGGTCGGGCCCTAAAAAACACTAGCTAGAAGTGGGGATGCACAACAATATTGGCACATCATGGGTATTGGCTGTTATTGGCTTTAAAATGAACTATATCAGAATTGGCCAACATGCTATTTCTTAATTTGCACAATAAATAATTATTACATACACTGAAAAGCATTGTATTCCATGTCTCCATCTGCTGGTGGGCCATCACAATAAGATTATGCATGCAGAATATGATGTTAATTCCACTACAAAGGGATTTGATGATCACTAAAATTAGGGATAGGGAAAAAGGGGGATATATCGCATCAGTATCAGGTATCAGGTTTCAGGGAATCAGGTATGGTTATTGGTCAAATGAGTTGTTACATGTAGGCATATTGGATATCAGCAAAAAATCCAGTATCGTGCATCCCTAATAAAAACATAGTTATAATTATTATACACTATTTCTGCAAATAGGTGCCCCTAATTCCTACACACTGGACCTTTAAAAACTCTAGTACACATACATGGAGTGAAAAAAAGTGCATAATTATAAGGCCTGGGTTTTTCAGAGAGGTAGAAGTTTGATTTAGGGATTTATTGTTAAGTATTTTAATGTGCTTCCTCTCTATAGCTACCTATACCACATATCTGTATAGTAAATCCAAGAGTTGGACAATCTTGTGATAGTGAATACTGAATATAAAGGTCAGCAGTTTGGGAATTCCCTGATGCAGCCTCTGTGATACACGTCTCCTGCATCACATGGAGCCCGTGAAGCATTGCTCAGTCTCCCCGGAGCGCAGGTGTGGGTGTCTGGCCATAGCGGCGCATCATTGTGCGTTATGTACTTGATAGGAACAAAGCAAACAACGCTGTATATGACACGTAGTATACCGCAGATATCCTGTAAGCTATGCAGCGTTTTGCATATGGTTTCAGGAAGCTGATGCAAGACAAAAACACGAGTGCAGTGGCTTCCCTTGAGATTTGGCGCTGCTTTAAACCGTCTACTGTTAATGAAATGAAATCATACGATCACATGATTAGAGATCGGTTTAATTCCTGGTATCTCCTCCCATGAAAACCCCAGCAGTGGTTCCTCCCTGTATAGGAGCCTTTCTCTGACATACAGAGAGACATGCTGTAGCCCACAACAGCTGTAAGTCATCGATTTGAGCGATCAACAAATCAAAGGCACGTGGCAGAAGCTCAGTACGATTATGAACCATGATTTTTGTCAATTATGCCAATGAACGTAGACTCCATGTCAATATGCTCTAATAATCGTGACATAGCCTTCCGAAGCGTTGTTTAGAATGGACGCTTACGGCGGATCCTATGGGTGTTGAAGGCTTTTTCATAAAGTGTTTGCTACAGCACAGTACTGTATGACAGAACATGCCCGTGGATTAGAGTCAGCTTCATGTGAAGGATTAATGCAACCAGATGCTGCTGTTGAACAAGCCTTTTGTTCATTTTAGCCTATAAAAGCATATAATAATGATGGAGACATGCAGTGTCTCTGTCACCACACATTCACTCCTGGTCGCTAAAAAATGTTGCACTTTACAGAGTAAATGTCTTTCAGGCAACCATTTCAGCTTTGGACATGTGAATACATGGATATCCATGCTGCTGATGCTGAGCAGCAGCCGCACCACGGAGCGCATCCTTCCAAATCACCACCAGCATTACACATGAAATGAACAGGCTTACCTTAAAATACACGTTTATTGGTCCGTTCTTCTTCTCACATAATGTCCTGTCATTCGTGCCGTGTCTCGTGGGGGAACGGCTACAAATATGGTAGGAATAATTGCAACGCTACTGGGTTAGCGCCCTTTTCTTATAGGGCGAGCGAGTTGTAACCGCGGTAGAGCCTGCCTGTATGGAGGGTGATTGATGCCACTAAAGAGGAAAAGCTTGTGGCTTCAGGCCAAGAGAAATATAATTATTATTATTATATGATTATTGTTATTATTATTATTAATGATAATAAAAATATCAATAACACTTATTATTATTATTATTAAAATACCTTTTCACTTTTTCAGCCCAAGTCGTGTGGCAGTGATTGCAGGGAATGTTTTTGCCAAACTGACATCAAGCGCAGCCAGTGAAAGAGATTTTTTGTCTGCTGGATTTGTAATTCAAGAACGTAGAATCCAGCTTAATGTGAGTGACGGTAGCCTGTGTGTGTTTAATCATGGGAGCAGATCAGGGCGCAGGACTTTTAATAGGGTGGGAGGGTGTGGCTTTGCCTTAGACATAATAACAGGTAAAGGGGCAGTTCTGGAGTTTTACGGGTATGGGCAGGTGCAGGTTTTCAAAAAGGGACCCGCGCAGGACTGATTTCTCATATGAGAAAATAATGTTAAATAATAATTTTATAATGGCGCCCCCCACTTTTGCATTTATTCAGCGGAATACTATACTGCATTAGAGAGTGACACAGGAGTGGATTTAGGATTTTCATTCCTGTTCCATCCCCACTCCCACTCTACAAAAAAAAAAAAAAAAAAAAACCTGTTCCACCCCAATCCCATAACAAAGTTAAAAAAATAAAAGAACTCCTGTCCCGTTGCAGT